GGTTTTTAACAAGAAGTCGAAAATATCAGTTTTTACCAAAAATGACAAAAATATTCACCAAAATTAGAGAATTAAAGATATCAACATGAAATGAACAAACCTAAGAGAGGTCTCCCCAAGGTACATATATACCAAGTATCAAAGCATTTAGGCTTGTAGTTTTCAAGAAGAAGTCGAAAAAGTAAAACATTGACACGGACGACGGACGACGACGACGGACGACGGACGACGACGACGGACGACGACGGACAATCACTCATATGATAAGCTCCGCTCGACAAAGTCGACAGCGGAGCTAAAAAAGACCAAGATACGTTTTCTAGAAGCGATTACCTACTTACTACTCATTAATTCACTCGTTCTCCCTTTAAAGACAACATAGAATATTCATATTCAAGTTCACATTCACATTCATATTTCTTAATATAATGTTTAATGACTTGTGGGTAATTATTGGTAATATTACACATTTCTTTTAAAATGAAATTCGCTTTATATAAATAACAATAAAATATTGTCATAAAAACAGAACAAAACAAAAACACAAAAAAAGCATGGTCCACATTAAACGCTACTAATTAATTTATGTCGACGATGGTGACGTACTGCGCATATCAAGATGCGCAATGCAAAATTCAAAGCGGGATTTTAGTTCAAAGAAGAGCGCAGACATGAAGTAAGCCGATAGCGTTTTTGCGAACACACAGACATATCACCAATCGTAAATCATTTAGTAGAATAATGTATATTATATATATATATATATATGCAACAACACGTGTCTTGCTTAGCGCCCTCTGTTGGGGGCACGTAGAGTTCGCCTCACTCGAGGAAACAAAACAAACGTCCATTCTAATTCACAGTCACTGCTGGGGCTCTTTAAAGAGCAATGCGTTTTAATTGCTTAATAATTTATTTATGAAAGTGAAGGTATAAATTTATTTGGCTGAAAAGTTTAATTTTACTGTCGAGCTACGAAAATTATAGACTGTATATTATGCGCTCAATGGCCACTGGATCTAGTTCTCGTAGAGCGACACCAACTTTCCTAGATTAGCGGACGCTTCCTCAATGGAATTGTAATTTGGTTACAATTGGCAATTTCGTAATGGAAGGATTATCGCGAGCGGATTACACTTTTCATTGAATTTCGAGTGTGAACAGGATGGCATCATAGCATTGTTATGTCTAAGCCCCGGAGAGTGGTTGTACGAGCTGGAAACGAAAGTCGTCATGGAAACTACTTCATAAATATAGCAAGCACGTCTGGTACACCCCGCAAAAAATATAATAATGTTAACTTATAGATGAAATCTTTAAAACAAATACATAATATATGACATTGTGGCTTTGGTGAACTAGTAAGTCGGTACAATACATGGCTGAATCTAATCAAGTGTGGTGCGCGAGAGCAACCCGGACTAGGCCATATTTAGCCGATAGTATTGCTTTACTTGTTTCGTTATTTATCTTGGCTCCCGACAAAATGCAGCTATATTAGCTTTCTTCTTGAATTTCGCTGGATAAATCTAAAAATCCACTGTCTGGCCGCCGGAAGTATGTTGGTATGTACTAATTATCTTTGGTTGCTAGGAAACAAGTAGATTTTATCTGTACAATCCATATTATTTTCTATGCGTACGTCCCGGTAGATATTATATTGATTTGCATGCCTGGTGACGTAAAGCGGGAAGGAATATTACTTAATAAACTTTTAGTAACCGATATGACAACTTTCTGTAATTTGTTTATTATCTAAAATAGCCGAGAGCGATGATGTATTGCGCAATAGATTACTGCGCAGTGTGAGTCAATCAATGCCCAAATATGGCGATAAATATGTACACATCAACGGATAAATAATTTATGTATAAACAAAGTAGAGACGCATAATAAAAACAGTTCATCAGAATTCAGTTTTATGATTATGATATTATTATTACACTCAGATACTACATTATGTGAACGTTTCTACGACAACGCCGTCTTCCAGGCACAAACAATATTTTCTTGGGATGCGTGTATACGTTGCCAGTTTGATGACGCATTTCTCTTGCCCATATAAGTCTAAAAATAATTCTTATTTGGTCATATTTGATGACGCATTTCTCTTGCCCATATAAGTCTAAAAATAATCCGTATTTGGTCATATTGTTTTAAACAGGCACTGGGAAGAGTAGAGGTCGTCTTTCGTTTTTCCGTATTGCTTTTGGTTGTTTTAAAAATCTAAAATTTGGGGACGTTCGAACCATGTTGATATTGAGAAACGTCAGACAAAAAGGTATCAAAATACACTTTTCAAGGTCAAAATAAAGAGTTCATATACAAAAATATATTTATATTTATAAACGTCACCCTAGAGATTCCCGCGATATCCCAAATTCTAAAAATTGTTCGGGAATATAACTTTTCACTGAAAAGGAAATATTTACATTATGGTAAATCAATTGTCGAGCTCAAAAAAAGAACTCTTTTGGCATTTACCGTTCATCACAGTCATCGACCGGGTCCCAAACTGCGTCGAATTGTCTTTTTCGTTTGGGGCTGGAATGTTGAGTTCACTGTCTCGTGCTTCAGTATAAAGAGTTCCAGTTTTCGCGAGAACTATCGCGCGCGATGATTGTTTCCTCTACGTCACCGGCCGTTCTTCTCGGTTCAAATTACCCAGCGAATCCACATCTCGGCTCACCAAATGCACAGCGCCATCTCCCGGCGTGTTTCTGTGTGTTATTTTGAGATCCGTGCGCGGGGACTTGCATGTATGTACGTCCACTATATCCGTGCAGTCGTGGCATATTACCTTACAACACCAGTGAAATTTACATTCGCATTTAGTTGTCCTTTTAGCCCGAGTCGTGTCATAGCCTCGTCCGCAACACATTATGTCACATCCACCTGTTCCCATTGACGTCTTGTTACAAACGCGCCCAGCTGTCCCAAGAGAGCCTAAATTAAAAAAAAAATGTTATTGATTTCATTAATGCAAAAGAAAAAAAACACAGAAGATGACTAAACTATTAAAATATATCCAAAACCAATGTCAAATAGTTGAAGTTCGCACTATTTATGCCAGTATTCCATGGCCGTAGTTGTTGAACTCTAAGTTGCCGATCGAATAGAGAAAACTGAAGAAAGTGTGGAGCCGGCGGACTTCTTTATCTTAACATCATGACACAACCAATAATTACTTGTGTTTCCTAAATAATGTGGTAAAGTACTCAATAACTAGAATTCGACATGCACAGCCGATCGCGACTGATATTGGTCCAGTTTTTTGAACGAACATGTCTATATGATTTATCACCCTTTGTACATTCCAAGTCAAGGTATTGTATTTTCCAAAGTCAAAGATAAATATATTCATGCTGACGACGGAAAGTGCACTTCTTAATGCAGCTGTGCATCACGGGAAATAAACTTGGTTCATTTTCTAGATAATGTCCGTATGTTTAAGAGGTTAAACGACGTGTTTGTTGGTTTGAAAACGAGACAAGTTAAGGTGAACGGTGTTCGTAAAAAGGAAATGTTGTTAAAGTATCATGCGTGCGACAACTGGTACACTGTTTTCTGGCGACCGATTCTCTCATCGTTGGCAATTACTGCAAACATTCCCGTGTCGCCTTGTATTAACAAGCTGGAACGTGGGAACATGAATCAATCCCTCATCAAGTCTTCAAGTGTGGTGATAATCTGACAGTCCCCCGCGGGAATTCAAGGATTATCGTCACTAGTTTGTCACTTGACCAATTTGTGTGGACAATTTAAATGTTAGCTGTTGTTTGTGGGGACCGCACAGGCTGAACAAAGTGGACCGGGCCACGATACGGTTTCTCGCACCGCTATTTTTGAAAGTAGTTGAGATTCGAGCGTAATTGGCGACTTCCACAACTGCGTGTTGCCAGATTGGTATGAAGAAACATAAGGGGGTGGAAAAGAACGATTGTCCAATCTTGAATTCAATAGTAACTGAACTAGACGCCCAAAGCATGTAACACCCCCCCCCCCGCCAACCTCGTTCAGTCAATTCAATTACTAGTAATCATCCATACCTGTGCTTTCATCGGCAACACAATAATCGGGAGATGCCTCGAAGTAAACAAGGTCCAATCTGGTCGGCCGCTTGTGGTTTTTATTGGCCACCATTAGTTCTCTACCTTCTTGGTTCATCATAACTTCCGTTGCGCCGTTGTATTTAACGCGGAGATAGTCGCCGACTTTGCGGAATTCCTCCATCGCCAGCCAGCATGTCTTGATCGTGCACGACCCGCTGACGCCGTGGCATTTGCATTCCAATTTCATGTTCTTTTGAACTGCCTAAAAAAATATTACGGTTTTATCGATTATGAGCGGCAAACTCAAAATGAATAAAAATTGAACATTAGTTTGCGTTCCGATTAGTTAGCTGATGAGTCCAATTGAATTTCCTTATTTGGTTCAATGCTTGTGTTAGTTTGTCAATGACCAAAATCAGGGGCGGATACAGGATTTTTTCTATGGGGGGGGGATCCAAACTTTAAAATCGCCTGACTAAGTTAATGATTTGTTTATATTATACAAAAACAAATTGAATAAATTTTTCAATGGGGGGGGGGGGGTCCGGACCCCAAGAAACCGCCCCCTAGATCCGCCATTGAAAATTATATAGTATAATGTATACCATACACACACAATAAATTAAAATATGATCACGTGATTCACAAACCAAGCTTACTCCTAAATTTCAACGACAACCATGGTTGCACACACGTGAGCCCAGACTACTATGGCACACACTTTATAGTAGTCTCAGACGTGAGTGACTTTGACGCCGTAGACCATTATTTGGGGTATCCCGTAACTTAATAAACATCGTGTATTAGCGAAACATTGATAATCCCATTTTTACTTATTGATAACGATTTTGGCATCTTTAATACTCCTATCGATAATTTTTAATCAATCAGAAACAGTTTCGCCTGGTTATTTTTGAGATAAAAACAATAGACGGAAATATTTGTTTTAATGATACAGATTTAACCTCAGACAACTAATAAATTGATTAGTTGTCTGAGATTTAACCCAAGCTTACACAAAAACTAGTATCGGAAAAATACATTTCGAAAAACTGCAAAATACAAAAATTTCGAGAAACTGCCTGGTCGTCGCCGGATCATGGGGTTACGGAAGTGGCCATCTTGAAATACAAAACTCTTTTCGTCAGCTGCCTTGTCTGTATTTGGTATTCGGTAATCGCACTAGGAATAGATTTATGCATCTTTGTCACTAAATTATATGTGATTTTAACAAGCAAATATGCATTAACCAAATAGTCTTGGAGGCGTTATCCAAATAACCACTCACCCCCAAAAAACTCCATGACACAATCGCTTTCTCTATTATAATGTGGGGGGAATTAAACAGCGTAAACGTGAGTGAGTAACTATACATTCACAAGTTAGTTCTACTGCAACTGACAATACCATATTATTTTGGAATAGTCGTTTAACAAGAAAGTACTTGCTTCAAAATACTGCGTTCTTTGTAGGGAACACGTAATTAGAAATTATCCCGGGAAAAAAAGGGCCATTGTCAGAAGTCAAACTAGTTTTGTATCAGAAAACCTTGAGATTACAGCACTTATTACACGGTGACTAGTTCTTGAAAGGTCACTCATTAACAGAAACCGGTTCGCACAAACAACGATGGATATATGGACCTATGTCAGTATTACGTATTAAACCATTGCAACAGGAAATTGATATTATGTTAAAAATAAATGTGCGATCCGTCGCGGAAAATGTCACGGTATTACTGGGCATCGCCGGCATATTTATTTGCAACTGATATAGCTAGAATGATTGGAAGAAGATAAGCATTACTTCATCGAAATATGTACATTTCATAATGATCAAAGAAAAAGATTGAATAAAGAAAATGTGCGAAACGTTTTATCAATATTCGGTGTATGATCAATTGATATTTCTAATACGTAACGAACATGTTAGTATGCACTTCCATACAATATTTGTTTGATACTACATCTCGATAAACACATTGAGATATGATTTGATAATAATGATAATAATAACTGGACACTGCAAACATGAGTTTTTAATTACCTGTACGTACTGGTAAATATAAGGCGCATGCGCATTACATTTTATTGAACGAATGTAGCTATTTTTGCCGTGAAAACAACGACTTTAGTTTATGAAATGTGTGTATCAAAACGCAATTTGTTTAACTTAGCATTTAAAAAATCGCACTCAGGGAATGTTATGTGTTTCCAAAGTCCATGTTCAGAAATTGAAACATTGACCCTTTAACACAATATAAATGTTATAAACAATACAGTGTAAAAAATCGAGTGACGTCATTGGGATTTGTAAACTTACCCTGCGACCAGCTCTGTTGTTGTGAAGGTTCATCAGAGCCCGGGCATCTCGTATCTTACGTTCTCTGGCGTCCACAAAATGCCTCGAGAAATCACTGCCGAACTTGATGTTGTCGCTGCAACCACCCCAGTCGAATTCTCCGTGTTTATTATTGTGTTTACCTTTCCTTGACAAGTCACATGCGCAGTCGAACAATTCCCCTTTGCTACAGGAGCGCGTAATAGCGTGCACGACACCGGCTGATGAGATTGCGTAGACGAAAGCAGCTTCACGACTCGCGGCTGTGAAACAATGACAACAGTGACATTTGAATTACTCATGAGTAGTATCGGCAATACGTTATCGTTATTTTGTTTGAAACTAGAAAAAACACAAGGAACATATATAGCAAGTATACCATCACAGGCGCCGGCATAGTCGGGAAAAGTGTCATTATTAAGCTAATAATTTTCACACAGAATTTAACTAAACCAGTCTAGACATTCTTGTACAAAGAGAGAATAAGGGATATTATTAATTGTTATTAAATAAAATATAACTATTTTTTTTAAGTTAGAGAACTGCAGTTCACTTATTTAAGGAAAGCGAACAGACAATAATGGACGCGCTACGTACATTGACCTACTCTTTCAATCGCTCAAAAAAAATTGAAAAGAAACCTAACATCCCAGCTAGCCCATTAGCATTTTACATAAGTAATGATGTCAGCCCGAGGCTTCTGACTGTCAGATGATGTGAAATTCGCCTGACCTGACACGACCTTTGACCGTTGAACTCTACATAAAATACAAATCGACATTTTGTCTATATAGACATCATCAGGCCACAAACGAACGCCGAGTGTGTGTGTGCCTGTGTGTGTGTGTGTGTGTGTGGGGGGGGGGGGGGTATTGACGTGAATGAATATACCCATATAAACATGGCGGAATTAAATTCAACAGACTATTGGAAATTCAGATGGTTATTCGTCACTGGCGGCATTTTAATAAAAACCCGATCCATTTCCGACGAAGCACTGATATGTACATTTGGTCTGAGTCAATAAACTCGTCTGATAACATACGCCTTTGGCGAAATCCTTCCAATTCCAGATTTTAAAGTACTCCAGATGTTCCTTGATGTCAGACTTGTTTTAGAAGCGCGTCTTGATTGACTTAACTCTTATTTGTCATCCAATTCCGCCATTGGCTAAATCGTCGTCGTGTTATTTATCACGTGTGCATAAATGGAGCCAATTCGGAGATTTAAATGCCATTGATCGCGAAATAATAAAATATGCGTCGAGGTACCTGGTTCGTTGCAGTAATGGCGTCATGAAATAAATCCTCGGGACCTTGATGAAAAAAGTGCCAGCAACTTAAACCTACACATACTCTTTAAGAAATGTACGTTTTCGAGTGAAAATAACATGCATCCGCATTTGTGCTCGGAGTACAAGCACGCAACATTTTATTTCTTGAGTGCAATTATTGATATGCGGCAGCGGCACCGTGTTTATGTATTGACGTACGTGGTCTCTGCAAATATTGACTCTACGGAGACACGAATACCAGTCACACATACGAATACCAGTAATATGATCGATTAAAGTGATGCAATCGATTTAAGATCTATTCAATTATTAATTTTCAGACGTTTTTTGGAGAATAAATTATGAAAACGAATTGTTTAAATCGGTGGTATAGATTGAATCCACTGTGTGCATTAAGTGCACGTAGCCTATGCAAATGGACCCGTACGTAGTTCTTTGACGTAGTCCCGGGGCTTGATCTTGTAAAGCTAGTCTAGGAATAATTTATAATTCATCTAACTCGTCTGGTTTGTTTTCAAGGAACGTGATTTGAGTACGTGCTTCCACGGTTTCTGCGAACCAGTTGAACTGAGATAACCCCTACATGACGGCATTTTGTATGTATGTGTGTGTTTGACGAAGGTGGTTGTGTCAAAAATGAAAAAGGGGCTTCTTTATTTAAAAATATTGAAAAAAAAAATTCTCATACGGACTTTTGTCTATCTGTTTTTGATGTAGTCCCCAGATAATACCATACAATTGTACAGGTATTGAATTCGAAGTTTTAGTCGTTCACCGACATGAACCAGACCAGTGTGTCCGATTAATGAAACCCCGGGATGTATGGAAAGGCATCCTGTTTGGATGAAGTGGGTGGGATCAAATCGCACAAACTTCCGACAAATCAGTTGTTGGTACACCCGGCAGTCATGCGAACACGGGGTATTACTACCACCGTGATCCTGGAGGCGATTAACAGTAATTGACATGCCAATACGTTTACCAATGTTTGAAATAAAACGTTTCAGCCATGTTTAGGGTTTCGTAAAACGCAATCTTTGGTGTAAAAGCTGTTTATCTTCAAGACCTTTCGCGGAATCACCTGTCCCGATTGGTCCCCGTCGACCAGTCATTGGCGCAAATGACGTAAGCGTATGCTATACGTTAAACAAACTCGACTATCATGAAACCAAACATCCCCATAGGTACTAAATGACGACGGTTATTCTGTTTTGGGGACATTCAGTCCACCTTTTATTGCCGCCAACTACGAGACCAACCGATTCATAAACTGTGTACGACGTCCCATTACATGTCCGTTAGATCGTAGCACTTTAATAACCACATATCGTCGAATTGTCACAACAAAGGTTTGATTTTCATGCTTTCGTGTTATGGATTAATTTTATAAATGACTGATATTAAAATGGCCCACAATGATAATTTCATTCTTTGATAATTAAAAAATGGATATTTCGCGTCATAGCCAGTGATTTTACAATTATCGTATAGAACAATAAAATTGCCGCGTCGATACAAGTACGTAGACCATATTATATGTTTTTGTTGGCATGGCGAGTTGGAACGTGGTCGCTGTACCCACGGCGCGCTGAGCGTATTTTACTGAATATTTCATATCACCAGGCGTTACTCGACTATACTGTAATGGTATACGCGTTTTGAGACCATGGAAACATCAATTCTGTTGAATAATTTTAACTTATAATATAATATATTTGATGTCAAATTGAATACAATTTTGAATGGTTTACTGTATGTCCTATCTATTCTTATTTTCACTCATATATAATTGTGCAAATACAATATTCTTCGTTGTAATATTATTTCGTGAGTCAAGACTTTATTTGTTGGACTTTCGCATCAGCTGAAAAGCTGGTCCCGAAATGGGTTGGTGTGTTGAAACGCAGGCACTGGTACGTGTACTGAGGTGGAAACCCCTAATAAGTACGACAAATTGACAATACTGCAATTAAATGGTAGCCAAAATATTTGAACCTATGTTAGATTATATTTCTCGTGGATTTTCTGTTTTTTTTACTTGACGGTCCGCGTAGCGGTCCAACCGGTTCATTGTCAGTAAGATGCGACAAATTGTGATATAACAGTGTGGATTTATGGTAAGGTGTCAGGTCGGTGAACTATTACCGGTGAGTATTTTACGTGCAGTGACTTTATATATATATATATATATATATATATATATATATATATATATATATATATGTCGCTTTTAACTTTCGCATGGCCTTTATGTGTTTGTGCTTTTTACTATTTTAAGGACCAGTACATCTTAATTGGTTGTATGCCGTCAATTCAATTTGTCCACTTGGAAATGTGGACACAAAACATCACAAGCTGTGGCGAACTAAAAATAAAAAGTCGGGACAGACATACAATAGGGGGCAGATTAAAATTCCTGCTCTGTTTAAAAAATTTACTAGATTTACAATAGGATCGGAGCACAAAACTAGTGTATCTATTCAGTTGTATGTTTTTGGTGTGGATTCCCATTCACATCGAAATGAAATAAACAAGGTAGCGACGCATTCTGCATCGCAGTTCAATTTTTTTTTCTCATGGACGAGTTGCATGGGTGGTATTTCATATAGCGACTGCGTTCATTTCAGGAGGCCCCTTCAACCGCGTACACGCATGAACTGTTCCGCCAGATCTTTTACATACACAGACCGCTGCATAACCCCATGAGCGAGTCATAGACCCCGGGGGAAATACATACCTTACAAGCAGTGTATATATATACGATCACGGTGTGTATCAGATCGAATGAAATTAGCTATCAGGCTATAAACTATGTTTCAATAAACTACGAATATTTGGGCATAGGAAACTTGCTTTTCAAGTTCTTAATACTAGTACATGGAACTGGGAAAACCGTTATATACGTGAAACACGTATACAATTGTAAAAGATGATTTGAATACAACCGAGGACGTCCACCCATTCGACGCAATGAGATGATTTGCCAGATGTATGTACACATGTAGCCTATGGGTAGGTATGTAGTTTTGGGGACGTAGGCGACGAAAGGGGTGCCGTCTTCTTCGGTTATACTATCAAATTAGAATTACACGATTCTCAACAAGTGTGGTTTAATTAACATGATCCCACTGATTAAAAAGGGTGGGGGCAAACTTATTGGGGATTCGGACAGCATTCTAGGCTGTTTTTGTTTTGTTCCCCGTTCTAAATTACTCAAATTCAATAATGGGTGATTTCAACCGCGACACAATGATACAATCTGGTGCAATCAAAACAACGAACATCGCATTACCATTCCAATGTTCCATTCATCGAAGGTAGGACAAATAATTACAGAGAATCCTCGAATTTCTTACGCTCCGATCGCCCGTAATTGCACTAACGGGAACGGGGAACTTTCGACAGTAGAAGATGAAGTTGTGGTGGTGGTAAAGTACGAATCAAACAGTACAAAGCACGACACCACGCACGACATTGTGTAGAGGGATTCTGTTCCTCTCTCTCTTTTTTTTTGTACAACACATTGAGTCGCCATTTCGTTATTGACGACGCTTGCAATAGGATTATCTACTAATATATAATGTGAACAAAACTTTCTGCGAGACCGAAAGGATGACCCATTGCTGGACGATGAAAGAAGGTCGACAAAAATTGCTTGAGTCCGGTGTTAAAAAAAAAAAAACATCATGGCGTAACGCAAAGATGCTTGGTAGAACTAGCATATACTCACTTTTCAGCATGGTTTTGCCGAACACTGAGAAATCTTTATCCAAGTTACTGCAATTCCATCTATTGTTTTTGAACTGAAATTGGCATTCTTTTACCCCTTCTTTAGCTCCCTGGCCTATGCTTACCATAACATCGGGTTTGGTCCGGCATAGCTGTCGCTGCTTGCCAACTAGTCCAGGGATGTTATCGCACATTACTCGCGTACCGACTGCATGTACGGAAAGTTGACTGAGAAACCTTGACGATAAAATAAAATAAAGTCAGGATTCCAGTTAGTCTCGATAAATAAATAAACAATGGCTTAGTCAGGTTGGGAAACGAAAACCGCGAAATGTAAGGGGACTATCTGTTTACAGACAGAGTGCAGAGATTGGGTTGCCTTATCACCGTAGTCTTGTGTAGATAAGCGGGATTGTTGTTATCAGCAATAAAGCACAAAACAAAAGTCGCGTCGACGGCTTTCGCTCTAGTAGTTACTCCACGATGGTACAACGTGTCCGTGATATATAACGAGCCAGTATAAAAGAGAAGGGGGTTTAGCGGCGTCGTAATAAAATTGAATGCTATGCGAATCACGCCGAGTATTCGAAAAAAAATCGGAAAAATAAAACTGCAAGGAATTTAATTTGGAATCCTACCCATACTTACCACCACGTGGACTTTACTTGGTCGGAGTAAAATATCAAAAAGAAGAGAAAATATAAAATCCTTATCTTGTGTGCCATTTTGCGCGATTTCACAGGTCCCACTAAACCCACTCAAAGCATTTACCGATTCCGGCATGCACTAGGGACAGCGATTCACCGTAGATTTGTTCGCCAGTTCCCCCATACTATGCCTATATTGGGCATCTTCAAAGAATGCGCCTCGTCAGCTGATTGGCCAAATGGGGTAGTCAAAGCGACCGCTACTGGGGGCTATGCATGTACAGGTTTTTTTTTTGTAACTGCGGCTACATAATGGAAGGCGGAGGGAGGAGGGGGAATATCACACAATTCAAGGCGTGTGACTCCCGACGAGGTGAAAATATTTTTTACGTAATATGCTATCGCAATGGTTACGTCATTATTTTTCCCCATATCATGATATATGGTTGTACCTTTTGCTTTTTGGGGGAATTTGTCGTCGGTGCATCGATGGACGTAAGGAGCATCTGGGCCATGTAACAGTCGAGTACATTTACATTGTTTAAATGTGTATATTTTTTGTAATAGTATATAGAGAATACAGTCTACGTGAAACAAAGACTTACATTGGTTATAATACGTGGAAGAAAACATAATATTTCAAGTATACAATGTAAGTTGTTCATATCCCAGTTGAACGCTATGTTTAGCATGCCACAGATAAACATAAATGACTTGATCGCTCGAAGTTTCATTTCAATATACTCGGGATATTCAATGATTGCATAGACTACGATCAAGTTTACGCTTTAAAACAATTGTTGTTTTCATAACAAAGGTTCAACTACCCAAACATCTCGTATTAATTGAGTTGGATACTCCAAAGGAACCGATTCTTTGTCACTGTTTTCACTCTGGTGGTTACGTTGAGTCTATAAGAAGGGTAATTAGAAATACACGCTATGATTGAGTATGTTAATTTCAACTTGGCATTTGACCTCGATGATCATGTGTACAAGCCTGAAAGTCAGTTTAATTTCGTTGAAATGTGTTACGAAATAAAAGGATTTACTCGACTATCCAGTTCCTAGTTTAACCCAGTGAGTTACTGCAAAAACAAATGGAGTTTTTTTCCCCGAAATTCCACCAGCAACGTCGTACAATCCATACATGTTCGAAGTGGTTGCTTCTGTGTTTAGCTCCGTTGACGATCTACCATTGTCTTCACGTATATCCCGCTGAAGGTATCAATCCGTCGACTCTATTGTTGATGTTACAATTTGATTAACTGTGTTGATACCCCATCATCGACCGCTTCGCGTTCCGAAAATACTATTGTGCTTGGGAGACCGTGATAATGACGCGTGAATGTAGGTGCGCGTCTACACCAGTGTTTACCATTTCTCACTACATACCAGACCAAACACTCAAGTAAACACAGTGATTCTCATCCAATTCTGAGTCCAGACCGCGTGCAAACAGAGCCGATGTGTCAACATTGATAGTACCGATGTGTCAACGTTGTCTGGACCGCGACGATAAACCAGTCAAGAATCATTGGAAATAAATCTTAAATGCAACACATGAGAATAATGTTTTCAAAGGAAAGACACTCCAAAATCAAATAAATTCTAACAACATTATTATCATAATTACACCTATGTCCAAGGTAAAATCAAGGGAACTGGTGCGGGGTACGTGTTTTACCAATTGGTAGAAATCATCCGCCATGAATGATCGCGATTATCCGGTGAATTATATCGCACTTCAAAGGATAGGACAAAAATGCGCAGTGTTTTGGAGAGGTTTACTGGCAAAAAAAAAAAACGATAACAAACTGCATATTTCTAATATTCAAAATAATGCAACCTTTTAATGACGTATTCTTGTTGGAATATAAACATGACCATCATATCGGCACGGGGGGAGAAAGACGGCTTTGGCGTAAACATAAAAAACAGACATCAATAAAAACAAAAGAAACATGTTTATGACGGATCACATTAACAAGCGGAAACTGAAACAAAAACACAATGGCATAACGGCGCGATGTTTGACAAGTCACGTCGGTGGCAAGGTGTTCTGACGTCACACCTCAATAAAATGACATTCACACGTGTCTAGAAAAAAAACTGTTTTAAAACCTCCATAAAAAACAGCCTAGTTAGACGTTAACGAATACGTAACTCATGGCAACCATATTGTAAATTATTTTACAACCCTTATTCGACCGCGTGTTACTTTCAAAATTCGGCACAATACATTGTTTTGACTGGGCGACATTTTGAAAGTTGCGTTTTCATGGAATTATCTGTTACGAGGAGGCGAGTAACTTGAAGACGGGCCCACACATATTGGCGACGGCTGATTGAAAACCATCCAACCACACTGACGGCAATTACCGTTCCCGCCGGCACACTTCTTCGCTTGAACAAACATAAACAGAAAAGTGGCTGTTTCTTTTGCATGTTTGTATTTCGACTGAAATTGCATGATTTTTACACAAACTGCTTACAGTTTGTAAATAAATGAGAGTGAAGACTAAAAAAAAAAGACGAATTTAAAACAAACAAAATTTACGAATTTATGATAGTCACGTGACTACAGCGATCTCCGTGACCGTACATTGGAGCATGCGCTGTCAATCATCCTGATTTATCCCAATTATAATAGCAATAATTCTAATTTTGAACAGAACTGACATTGTGTTGACAAATAGACATTTCTAAGCAACACACTTAATGCTGGATTTTTTTTTATGTTACAGGTAATCCTGTAAAACATCTGTCAAAATTGATATTAACACACCTTTGGAATAGGAATTTCCTGAAATTTTCTTCGCAATTGGCCATTTTTAAATTCTCAAGGTACCTTGGACTATTTTTTTAATTAACAGATATTTTCCCAATTAAAATTTTTCCAATTGTACATTAGTAAATAACCATTCCGCAATAAAATTAAATTATCTGGAATTTTTCTCTTTAAATTTGGTGAAAGAGTTGCATGTTGACTTGGCTGCACTGCACCGATGCCTGGACCACAATTTCAAAATAAATCCGAAAATGTATAAATATGTATTGAAACACTTGATTGTCAGTGAGATCTCGCATCATGGGGGTGGGTGGAATTAAGCCAAATTTGTGAGGCCGAGGTGTAAATACCATTTCTATATGGTGGACAAATAAAAAGAAATAAACTAAGAATCACTGGTTTGTTTGTTTTCATTAACTTTACTTGTATCCTGAAACATTGTATTTACAATAGTGTTGTTTGAAAGTTATTTAATAGTGAAAACACATTAGAAAAAAATATATATATACATGATGTGAAATGAAGAGACTCATCCTTGAGTGGTTGTGAAAAATTAACAAAATAAATAAACTGGTAAAAAACTATAAACATGTTATCGGTTCAACGATGGTTGGTTCTCGCTTTCTCAGTTGACAAGAAAAAATTGTCGTCAGTAACTAGAGGGAAAGAACCAATTGCTTCGTCTACTTCGTTTCACTCACAAAGACCAGTTGTGTGGTAAACAGGTCATGAGATTGCCTAGAGCCACATTACAATCCAGTGACTCAGCTCAGGTTTTTTTTTAATCCCCAGTTCGTCACAAACGTACATTCAGACTATTTAACCTTCTCACATACGATTCACTCTTCTGTACTAGTCCAATCAACAATCCCGGTTCAAATTAAAGTTCTGTTTGAATTTCTTTTTTCAGTTTTCTTTTTCACAAATGTCGCTTTATCCAGTAGTATCCGAAGATCGTGCAGCTGCCGATTCCAATCCAAGGGATGACTCGCCAAAGCCAGTAATGATCTTCCGGGACATTAACAATCAAATCCACTGGCAAGTCACTACCAGATTCATTACACACCTGGAAAGACAAATCAACTTGTTTCAGGCATAGTTGAAAGCAAGAATACACAGGATATAAATTTTGATATCTTGTGATGTCTGGTTGCAAATGAAGTGAAGGAAACATCATGAATATGAAAGTACAGAATAAATAATATCAAATTACAGCCTGCAGTCCATTTTACACGTATATGATTTGGATTTAATGCCTCACCAAGTGATCAAAATAAAGAGGATTTCGACAAAAGGCAAGTTGTTTTGAAAATCTGACAAAAGGTGCTCCCCTTCTCGACCACCTTTTTCCCACCCACACTATTAGCAAAGAAATGTTGCGCCATTCACAGAGAATGACAGAGGAACACAGCACAGATTAGTGTGTAGTAATCAAATAACCCAGACAAAGAATTGGAAGTGCTCCTCCGATCAGCTTAGTAGACTGTCACTTAGTTAACAATTTTCAAGGAGAACACAAGACAAAAAAGGCATTCGGAGGCAAACAAAAGCAATAAAGCAACTTGACAAGCCAGCTGAAGAGTTGAAATGCTACATGGTTCAAGCAATGAAACATTACCTGTAGTTTTATGCTTTATCGCAACCAGGGCCAGGATGTGAGGGAAGGAAATCTGGCCCTGAGGGCAGAAGCCAAGGTTCTTTTGAGGAACGCTAAAAATTCTCCAATCATTGGTTTGTCCAGTTCTGAAAGGGTATATGTACAGTGTGCCTTGGTTTGTCCAGTTCTGAACGGGTATATGTACAGTGTGCCTTGGTTTGTCCAGTTCTGAACGGGTATATGTACAGTGTGCCTTGGTTTGTCCAGTTCTGAATGGGTATGTGTACAGTGTGTGCCTTGGTTTGTCAGCTCTGAAAAGGTACATGTATAGTGTGCCTTGGTTTGTCCAGTTCTGAAAGGGTACATGTACAGTGTGCCTTGGTTTGTCCAGTTCTGAACGGGTATATGTACAGTGTGCCTTGGTTTGTCCAGTTCTGAATGGGTATGTGTACAGTGTGCCTTGGTTTGTCTAGCTCTGAAAAGGTATATGTACAGTGTGCCTTGGTTTGTCTAGCTCTGAAAGGGTACACGTACAAGTGTGCCTTGGTTTGTCCAGTTCTGAACGGGTATATGTACAGTGTGCCTTGGTTTGTCCAGTTCTGAACGGGTATATGTACAGTGTGCCTTGGTTTGTCCAGCTCTGAAAGGGTATATGTACAGTGTGCATTTGTTTGTCTAGCTCTGAAAAGGTATATGTACAGTGTGCCTTGGTTTGTCTAGCTCTGAAAGGGTACATGTACAGTGTGCCTTGGTTTGTCCAGTTCTGAAAGGGTACATGTACAGTGTGCCTTGGTTTGTCCAGTTCTGAAAGGGTACATGTACAGTGTGCCCTGGTTTGTCCAGTTCTGAAACGGTGCATGTACAATGTGCCTTGGTGTGTCCAGTTCTGAACAGGTATGTGTACAGTGTGCCTTGGTTTGTCCAGTTCTGAAAGGGTGTATGTACAGTGTGCCTTGATTTGTCCAGTTCTGAAAGGGTACATGTACAAGTGTGCCTTGGTTTGTCCAGCTCTGAAAGGGAACATGTACAATGTGCCTTGGTTTGTCCAGTTCTGAAAGGGTACATGTACAATGTGGCTTGGTGTGTCCAGTTCTGAACGGGTATATGTACAGTGTGCCTTGGTTTGTCCAGCTCTGAAAGGGTATATGTACAGTGTGCCTTTGTTTGTCCAGTTCTGAAAGGGTACATGTATAGTGTGCCTTGGTTTGTCTAGCTCTGAAAAGGTATATGTATAGTGTGCCTTGGTCTGTCCAGCTCTGAAAGGGAACATGTACAATGTGCCTTGGTTTGTCCAGTTCTGAAAGGGTACATGTACAATGTGGCTTGGTGTGTCCAGTTCTGAACGGGTATATGTACAGTGTGACTTGGTTTGTCCAGCTCTGAAAGGGTACATGTACAGTGTGCCTTGGTTTGTCCAGCTCTGAAAGGGTATATGTACAGTGTGCCTTTGTTTGTCCAGTTCTGAAAGGGTACATGTACAGTGTGCCTTGGTTTGTCTAGCTCTGAAAAGGTATATGTATAGTGTGCCTTGGTTTGTCTAGTTCTGAACGGTATATGTACAGTGTGCCTTGGTTTGTCCAGCTCTGAAAGGGTACATGTACAGTGTGCCTTGGTTTGTCCAGTTCTGAAAGGGTACATGTACAGTGTGCCTTGGTGTGTCCAGTTCTGAACGGGTATATGTACAGTGTGCCTTGGTTTGTCCAGTTCTGAACAGGTA